AACCAAGCTTTTGTTCATAGCTATTATAGAACAGCTGTTTCACTGTAAATATTTGGTTTATTGTGGACCTGTCCCTTCTAAAACCTCCTTGATATTCACCTATGATATCATTTTCATATACATATGCTCAATCTGTCCCTTAGTTGAAATGCTAGTATCATATATGCAGTGTCTAATAGGGCAATGCCTCTATAGTTTTCACATGAACTTTTATCACTTTTTTTGTATATTGGGCAGATTGCGGTGTTTTTCCATTTATCTGGTAGTTCCTCTTGATTCCATATATATCTGAACAGACTTCCAAGTCGCTTGTGTAAATCTTCTCCACCCGCTTTTATCATTTCTGCTATGATTCCATTTTCCCCTTTACTCTTATTGTGTTTTAATCTTCCTATTGTTTCTTCTATTTCCAAATCCGTTGGTTCCTGTATTTGTCCCTGATCGTCATCTTCCACTAGTGGTGCTGCTACCGTGTTCCTTTCCTTTTCGTCTGATAGCTTTAACAGTTCCGCAAAATGTTCGGCACACCTTTCTAATTTTCCTGGCGTGTCACCAATAATTAATGACCCATTTGTCTTCTATGAAAGCAAGACTACCCATTTTGCTTCTTCTTACATCCTGGTAAAAGTTCTTAATGTTTTTGATGATCATGATTCAGATTCAGATTCATTTATTGATCCAGTTAGATCTGCATTGTAGACATTGGATAAGTATGTGTATACAGATTAAGATATAGATAAAATGAAGTACAGTATAACAATAGGAACATGAAAAAACAATATGATTCACACATGGCAATAAATTACTTATTAAGATCTATCAGAACCACTGTGGAATGTGACAAATTCACCATGTGATCTTCTATCTTTTTCAAATTTATTTCCCAGTATTCACGCTTTTTCTTTCTACACATCTCTTTCAGTTTTCATTTGGCTTGCTCATATCTTTTCCTTGAGTCTGTTGTTCTAGATACATCCATTTGTATTTTAGCTTTCTGTCTTTGTTCCAATTCCTGTTTACAGTCGTCGTCGAACTACTCTTTGTTTTTTCTAGTACTCGTTTTTCTCATCATCTGTTCTGCTACATTAGTAATTATTGCTTGGATATGATTCCATTCCAGATTAACATCCTGCACAACTGGTGTGTTCTATATGTATATCAATTATTGAAGAATATATGCTGTTTTGAAGAAAATCATGCGAATCATAGCCATAAACAAGAAATGATTTCAAGCAGGCTTTGCCGGGTAAGAAATTGTTTCAAGTAGGCTGTGTCTGTTAAGATTTCTATGGCATGTCAAAAAGATTCTTGTCAAGCAATACTCAACAAAAATGACACCGGAACAAGTACCGCAAGCTGTAGCTTAACAAGTTGTTTCGGTTCTACAGGGTGTCCCGAAAAAAGTGTGCGATATTCTACCAGCGGTTTCTTAAAATAGGAAGGAAAGTTTATATAAACATAGGTCGACAAACGTCCCCTAAGGGCGCTACGGTCTTTTGAAGGGGCTCCCCTGAAGATGGTTTTTAATATTTCCGAAACGTGTTGAGATAAAGACATAGAATTTGGTATTCTAGCCTAAATTTTTATGCTGGATTTTAAAATATTAACAATTTTAGACAGTTTTGTTTGGAAGCGTATGGAACAGGAACGGACTCAGGTTATTTTAGTCTCAACATTTTTGTGTGATTCTATTTTTCAAATTCAATTTAAGAATTTGAAAATTTAGGATTTTCTACATGAAAAAGGTACTCTTATTGAATATCGATAAATTGTGCCATTTTTGAATAAAATCAAACTAAAAAATTTGTCACATGATAGGAAATGTACTGCGAATTTAAATGAATTGTTGAATAATTAGCCATGCCAACGAAAAAACTAATTTATTACTTGGTAAATATTACATAAATACATATTTCTATAGCAACATAGCCTAACATTTAGGCAAAACAAAAGAAATAAATTTTTTCTACGATCGAAATTGGAACTTGTTTAAAAAAGAAGACTTACAGTTAGATATACTTAAAACTAGCTTTACAATAAGTGTTCAAATAAATTCCCATTTTGTTGGATACAGTCTCGCTCGACGAACTAATGATTGCGTAGCCCGAAAAGTGGAAAACCTTTTTCTTCTTATTTCATTTGCAGCCTTATTCTTTTAAGTAAATCTTCTTGAGTATTTACTTCAGTCGAGTAAACTAGGTCTTTTAATGACCCCCAAAAATAGAAATCCAATGGATTTAGATCAGGTGAACGTGGCGGCCACGCTATAGGACCTCCTCGGCCTAACCATCTGTCTGGAAAATTGACATTCAACCAATTTCCAACATTGCGTCCAAAATGTGCAGGGGCGCCATCATGTTGAAAGAACATATTTTCTTGAAACTGCTGGCGCACATCCAATGGTATTATATCCATGAGCTCATTCTGAAGAAAGATAAGATACACCTCTTAATTAAGACGATTGGGAAATCTTCTTGATATTCTCTTACGGCTGCCAATGAACTGCCATTGCAAGACCCGTAAACAAAGTGCATGTCAGTCAGTTCTCTGTCTGTAAATATTGGCATTTTAAATCGATTTAATAAAAATTTTGATTTCAATCTAGTAATTTTACACTGTTAACAATGTCAGCTTAACGTCAGAATAAGTCATAACAAATCAAAACAACTTTTGTTTGCAATCATGGCTAACTATGTATAATCAACAATTCATTTAAATTCGCAGTACATTTCCTATCATGTGACAAATTTTTTAGTTTGATTTTATTCAAAAATGGCACAATTTATCGATATTCAATAAGAGTACCTTTTTTATGTAGAAAACCCTATATTTTCAAATTCTAAAATTGAATTTCAAAATTAGAATCAGACAAAAATTTTGGGGCTAAAATAACCTAAGTCCGTCCCTGTTGCATACGCTTCCAACCAAAACTGTCTAAAATTGTTAATATTTTTAAATCCAGTATAAAAAGCTAAGCTAGAATACCAAATTTTATGTCTTTATCTCAACACGTTTCGGAAATATTAAGGAAAAACCATCGTCAGGGGAGCCCCTTTAAAAGACCGTAGCGCCCTTAGGGGACGTTTGTCGACCTATGTTTATATAAACTTATCTTCCTATTTTAAGCTCTAGCTACGAGGAGAACACCTTACTGCCGACAGGTACATTAGAGGATGTTTGGAAGAACATGTGGTTCCTCATGTGCCCTTTATAGGAGAAAATTTTCTCCTAATGCAAGACAGTGCTCGGTTGCATATAGCCAGAATGACTAGGCAACACCTCAACGATGTTGGAATTCAAGTACTAGACTGTCCGTCAAGGAGTCCGCATCTCAACCCCATTGAGCACATGTGGCGATACAGTAGGAAGAAGGCTTGGACAGAACTAAGCAGAATTTCAATCTGTAGCTGCGTTGGAACAGGCGCTGGTAAACAAGCAAACACCCCAAGACACAATAGATGGTTTAATTGAGTCTATGCCAGAGGATGAGAGCTGTTACTCAGCCCCGGGGAGGAAATACTCGTTTTTTTATTTTAAATTGTTTATGGTTATGATTTGCATAGTTTTCTTCCCAATGTTGTCACTGTAATTTTTTAAATTAGATTGTTTATGGCTATGATTCGCACGATTTGCTTCAAAATGGCATATATTCTTCAATACAGTGGCGTAGCTAGAAGTCATGGGGCCCCGGGGCAAACATTTTTTGGGGGCCCTCATGAGTATGTTTAAGAATAAAAAATATCATGTTATAATAAAAAAATTGTTTATTGTTATAAAAACACAAATTAAAATAATGAAATAACAAAAGTCAAAAATTAAACAATAATAAAATTAAAAAAACCTTTTTCTTGCTTTTCTATTTGCAAATTCGTTGATAATATCATTTATATCAAGGTTTTGGGCTTCTTCATTCTCTATAGAGAGCACAGCAAGATCGCTTAATCTAATCTGGCCTGTAGTAGACCTAAGATAGTTTTAGCTTGTTAAATGATCTTTCAACAGTTGCAGTAGTTACAGGCAACGTAAAAAATAAAAGGAACATTAAGTAAACTTCACTTAAGTCGCTTTCAAGTACCCCATACTTACTTAAAATTATATTGAAATATTCCTTAATTGATAGATCATTCTTAAGGTCTGTTTTACAAACATTTAACAAATTGGTATACTGAAATATTAAATTATTTAAATCAAATATTTCAGGATATTTGTTATAAATGGCTGTACATTTATTTTTAATGGATGTTTCATCGCAACTTAATATAATTTTTGGAAGAAGTAAATCAAACAATTTATTAATTTTTTTCATGCTCCTAAATCTATTAGAAATCTGTGTCAGTCCGTAACAACATTAAAAACATTTATTTTAAATAAAATTTTAGTATTATTAAATCTGTAATCACTTAAGAGTTCGTCAAAGTGTTTTTTGACGTCTTTGCCTGAATTCCGGTTGAATATTAGATTTGTTAGCCAGTTCCGTAGCTTCAGTCATTAAAATTTCATAAGAAGATCTTAATTCAGTAAGGTTCTTTTCTACTTGTTCTAAAACAGATTCACTTAAATCAATATTTTTCTTTTGAAGGACCTTTGAGGCGAAGTTAACCTGGGTAAAGATTTTATACAACATTGTTGAAATAAATACAAATTCAAAGCAACACATTTGTTTGATAATGGAAGAAGCTTCTCTTTCTTCTTTTTTATGAGACTGTAACTCTATTTCTGTTAAAGATTTAATAATATCAAGATAATGAAGTTTGACAGCACTAATAGACAATATCCTTCCTGACCAACGAGCTGGATTTAATGTTTTTAAAGTTGTTTTGGAGTCACTGGTTACAGAAGCTAAAATATCCCATCTATTAATACTTAAACCAAAAAAAATATATATTTTGCAAAGTGGCAAAATATTGCGAGACCTCTTCATGCATCACTTATTACTAAATTTAAGTTGTGACTTGCACATATTCGGCATTTTGTTGAACTTTTTTTATTTGAGCATTTACTCCATTATAAGCCCCACTCATTACACTGGTTCCATCGTAGCCTTGCCCATAACATTTTTCAATGGGAATATCTAGATTTTTTAGTATATTTAAAACTTCTTGGGTCATTCCTCCAGCAGAATGATCTTTTAACTGGAAAAAACCCAAAAAAAATTCCCGCTAAAATCATCTTGACGTTCACGGTGCCCCCGAAATGACAAGGAACATTTTCCCAGAAGTAATGTAATTTTAAATAATCTTTGCAACACCATTTTCCAGAAGGATGCTTGAAATCTGATCTCTTCTTCTAGGTTCTTGTCAATGGCACGATTTTTTCCTATTAGAGGAACGTGGTGTAGTAAACATTTCAATGCTAATAACTTTATCAAAAGTAAAAGTGTTAGTACAAGGCTAAAGTTCTTTAGAAGTAGAACAAGAAATAAAAGTTGATTCACGTGTCTCAGAAATATTAATAGTTACTTGTTCTTTTTCAGAAGATTGAGAGGTTTTAATTTTTTTTTTATTTTAGCATGCTTTTTTAATTTTTCCTCTTATTCTAATTTCAATGAACTCATCCGTATGATAATTTAGTAATGAGAAAAAAATTCAAAAGTTGAAAACAATTTTTTCCCATGTTAATCAAATGGGAAATTGAAATTTGCGATGCGGCACCTCAAAATATTAATATTTAAGAGCTGTAACTTTTACAGGATTTTTTTTCGTCATTTCTAACAATTTGTTCGATATACTATATACTTAAGAGAAAAAAAATTAGTCGATATTTTTGAAACAGTCAATAGATCATTTAAGAAAATTTTTGAATTTAGTGTCGGGTTTAAGGTGCCCGCAGAGTTTCCGTAACATAAGACTTAAGCCCAGACTTAAGCCTTAAGCTGTAACGTAATTTCTCATGCCTTAAGGCTTAAGTCTTGACTATACTTTATAAATCACCTTATCAGAATTCTGTATAATTCCTTGCGGTTAAGTCTTAATCTGTCTTAAATGAAGATTAATCAATTTATTGCTGATCGGCGCTTAAGAACAATTTTTTAGAGGCGCATGGCCGGGGCCCCCTATAAGCCGGGGCCCCGGGGCACTGCCCCGGTTTGCCCTAGGATAGCTACGCCCCTGCTTCAATAATTGAGGTATTGACATGAATCAAAAAATGAACTGTTGGGAAACGCTGAGGCTTAAAATTCACATACGAAGACACATTATTCAGTAATCCAATGTTTCTACAGGGTGTTCAGAAATTTAGGGCAAAATACACCTTTCTAGTTGCACCCTGTATAATAATAATAATAATAATAATATGTATTTACTCAATGTACAAAGATAACAAACAATATGAGTAAATAAATATAAAATCAAAACAGGCCCAATAGAAGGCATCGCCTGTACATGGACCAATAATTTAAGTTGAAACTGTAGAATGCAAATGACAAAAAAGGACAAAAATTAGCTACAGTAGATTATGTATTTAGTTGATGTTCGTATTTATGAGTTTATGAATTTCAGTCCTAGATATAGAATGTAGCCACTTTTTTAAATTTCTTTTGAAACAATTTCCGAAACGTAAATCTTTTAAGTCTTTAGGTATAATTTCATAAAATTTAGGCGCTAAATAGAGATATGATCGCTGCATTATAGATTTATGCCGTTGAGGAACTACTGTGCCACGAATTTTGTACCTGGTATAACGATTATGTTTAATTTTTTGGTCGGTGTTTACAAATTTATGGTAGTGAGTGATACTGTGTAAGAAATAAAGCTGTCTTATATCATACATTCGAACATCTGTGTATTATTTTTCAGTGGGATAAAGTTTCGTTTTTTTAAATATCATTTTTAGAATACTTTTTTGAAAAACATCTAAATTATAGATATGTGAGGAACATGCAGCTCCCCATGCTAATATACCATATGTGAGATGAGGCTCAATCAGTGCATGGTATAATGTTCGAAGATATTTTTCTGTCAATATATTCTCAAGGTATTTAATTTTGTAGGATACAAATCTAACTTTCTTTAAAATATAATTGTCATGGATGTCCCATCGTAAGTGAGGATCCAAGACCACTCCAAGGTATTTTATGTTGGGCACTCTATTAATTTGCATTTTTTGATCATTAATGTTGAAGGAGAAATTTATGTAATTTGGCAGATATCTAGCATAAGATCCAAATGGTAAAAAATGTGTTTTAGAGTAGTTAATGCTTAATTTTCTACTGTTAAACCACCATATAATTTTGATAAAATCATTTTCAATTACATTTTTCAGATCAGACCAGTCAGTGCCTTCATATAATATTGCAGTATTATCTGCAAAACTAGTTATTTTGCCAACACAATTAATTTGGAAAATATCATTTAAATATTGAATAACAGCGGACCTAAGACAGTTCCTTGTGGGACACCACACTTAATATACATTTCTTTACTAAGTGATCCTGATATCTGCACAGATTGTGGGCGATTTGACAAATAATTTTCGATCAGTGAGTACGCGTTTCCTCTGAAACCAATTCTCTCCAATGCTTCTAATAATAATTTGTGATTAACTGTATCGAAAGCTTTCTTTAAATCAACAAAAATGCAGATTGAAGGGATTCTGTTATCTATATTTTGATGTATTTGATTTACAATTTTAGTTATTGCGTCCGATGTAGCCTTCTCTTCTGTAAATCCATATTGATTTTCATTTAAAATTTTGAATTTTGTGAGGTATCGAATCATTCTAGCAGATAAAACTTTTTCAAAAACCTTTGCTACACTGGATATTATTGATATTGGTCTATAGTTGTTAACATCTGTTTTTGTTCCTGATTTATGTATCGGTATTATATTACCTTTTTTTAAAATTGAGGGATATATGCCAGATTCAAAGCATTTGTTGATTAGGTAAGTGAGTGGTTCTGTTATGTCCTCGGCTATAATTTTCAAATGCTCGCTTTTAATACCATCGAACCCAGGACTTTTCCGATTTTTTAAGGACATAACAGTGGTGTATACTTCACATTGTTCGACTTTATCCAAAATAAATGATTTCAAAGTTCTTTTTGGAGGCTGAGTATTTTGTACATTTGCTTGTATATTACTTGCTAAATTTTCGCCTATGTCAGTAAAGAATTGTACAAATTCATCGCATATCTGTTGAGTATTTTTTAATACTGTTCCCGATGTTGTATTTAACTCAGTGACACACTCTTTAAATTTTGTTTTCCAGTAATCTCATCAATAGTTGTCCAAAGCCGCTTAGGATCATTTAAGTTGCTATTCAATTTATTTAGGTAATGTTTTCGTTTGGTTTGCCTTGCAAGCTCTATAAATTTATTTTTATATTGGTTGTAACAGTCGGTATTCTCTGTAGTTGGCGTTAGTTTCATTATATTATATAGTCTTTCTTTTTCTATTGCCGATGTTATTAATCCTTTGGTAATCCAGGCATTTCTGCTTTTCTCTTTGTGACTAATTATTACTTTATTGGTACTAATATCTATTAGTTTTTTTATTTTCTCTATGAACAGTCCCGTTGCTTTGTCTATATTATTTATAGAGTATAATTGTTCCCAGGATTCTTGTTTGACATTTGATATTAGTTTTGAATTGTCGACAAAAAATTTGTAATTTTCCTGGTTGTTACTAACGGTAGGGATGTTAGAATATTTTTCATTTGAAGATATCAGTAAAATAGTGGAGAAGTGGTCAGTAATATCGCTTTCTAGGATTATTGGTATACAAGTAATTTTGTTGGATAGGTCTTTCACAAAGCATTGATCTATACATGTGCCACTGATGGACCTTGTAGGTAGGTTTATATAGGACAGAAATCCGTTACTTGATAGGATATTCAAGTATTCATTTGTGATGGGATCATTGTCCAAAATATTTATATTGACATCTCCCAAGACAATATGTTGCTTTAAATGAACTTTATTTTGATTTTGAAAAAAAAAATCGATATTCTTCAAAAACTCGTGGGGTTCTGAACATGGCGGACGATAAATTGCAGATACCTCAATTTTGTTATGGTTAATTTGGATCATTATGTTTAAAATTTTGATTCCATCGGTGAAAGTGAATGTATCATGATTATATTGTAGCTCATTTCTTGAAAAAACTATCACCCCATCGTTTTGGTTATAAGTGCCAAAGTTATACAGCGTGTCATATCCCTGCTGATTGAAGCAAGAAATATCAACCACTTGCCACGTTTCAGTTAAAACTATTAGATCAAAATTGTACCATATTTGGTCGAGTAGTATTTTTAAGTAATCAATGTTGTGTTTTATACTCCTTATGTTCATATTAAAAATTCGAAATTTTGCATCAGAATTTTGCGTACATAAATTAAGTTCATCGACGTTTTGTGCTATATTTGTTGCAATATTTGGAATTTGGAAATCATTAATGTATTTATTTACTGACATTTTTAGGTCCTCTTTAGAGATAGGAGTATCAAAAGATGAACTTGAATTTTAAAAAGTATCCTTAAGTTTTGTTGTTCCTGATAATATTTGTACGATATAACATATATAACAACAAACATTTCTTTGCAAGATAAGCAGTCGATAATGATGGAAATGAAATTACCTACAACTTGACGAAAAAATTAACGAAATTGATGCAAAGATTAAAAAGTTATTTCAAATTTAATTTGAACAAAATTTTGTTGGTCCTGTTAGTGGCAGTGATTATTTGCGTTTTGCTTTCGCGACTGTTCAGTATTAAAACCATTTCTACAGAAGCCAGTGTGCCACCTAGGATCTACGTAAGTTTCATACCGTAGTTCATATTAAGCATATGAAATGCGTAACCACCTTATATATCTTCCTGATGTGGTGCAATAATATGGGTATGTATAGTCGGCATTCAAGCAATGCAAGCTCACGCTAGAAGCGCTAAAAGCATTTAATCAAACAGTGTCACTCTTCATTATGGAGAACGCAAGGCAGAATGCGCTTCCATAAATGCAAGTAAATTTTAAATTGCCTGCTTTTAGATATTACTGCTGTTTTGTAGGTAGCGCGTCTTGTGAACGGCGGAACTTTCATCATAATTTATGCTATGTGAAGAAAATACCAACATAATACTTCGTATCATCATGAGGGATGGTTTGTAATTCAAATGTTTGAAAGCATCAAACGGTTCTATTCAAGAATGGAAAATTGAATTTGAGGTCGGAGCATTCCGATCATTATACCGGGTGTTCCAAATTCGACCCTTAGT